AGTTTGTTAGTATAAATTATTAGTTTGTTCATTGTCAAATGTTTTATTAAACAAATATTTTATTCACCATTATTCCCAAATGACTTGAAATATGTTCATTGTCAAGCCTCAACAGTGGAATTTGGTCAGCCATTGGAATGAATCTGTAAAAAAAAATTAAACAACAATATTTAAAAAAATCATTTAATATAATCTAATATAAACTAACTAACTAATTTACAACACTAAACTTTAATATAATAGCTTATAATATAACTAATAACTAACAAACTAAACTTTTTAAAATATAAGTTAAACGTAAACGCTAAACCTTAAACTATAAAATATTCTTCTATATAACTAAACTAACTAATAAACTATTTTTTCATTATAATATCTACTAAAACTTACTACCTAATTTTTTATATAATATAAATTCAACAAACAAATATAACTTAACTATTTAACTAACACACTAATTAAATAATTTTTTTATATAACTAACTATTAACAATACAAACTATTAATTATTTTTTAACTATATAACTATCAAACATATACTAATTAAATATTTTTTAATTTATGTATACTATAACTTAAACTAACAATCATAACCCTAACTAACAAACTATTAGCTGCCTTTTGTTTTACCCTAAACCCTAAACTAACAAATTAAACATTATAATAATAACTAATTTAAATACAAAAATTTACCTTATCTCCCTTTCGAATTCTTTACTTTTCGACCTACAAGGTCGCCTAGGCTGCATGGCGACCTCTCTCCTATTCCACTGCATGGCCACATCCACTGCATGCCACCTCGCATGGCTCGCACTCGTATGGCTCGTATGCATGGGACTCGCATGGGAGAACGACCTCTCTATTCCACTGCATGGCCACCTCGCATGGCTCGCACTCGTATGGCTCGTATGCATCTATTCCACTGCATGGCCACCTCGCATGGCTCGCACTCGTATGGCTCGTAGCATGGGGACCTCGCATGGGGAAACGACCTCTCTATTCCACTGCATGGCCACCTCGCATGGCTCGCACTCGTATGGCTCGTATGCATGGGGAGAACCAGAACCATTGGCATTGGCTCGTACGTTCCCGTATGTCGCCTGGATTGCATGGCGTCCTACAAGATCGCCTGGATTGCATGGCGTCCTATGGCATCACTGTAGAATTCACCCCCATCCCAGCAATTAATCTGGGATGTGCACCATATCGTGAAAAAAAAAATCGAGAACATTATCTCGTGAATTCACCCTATTATATATATATTATATATATATATATATATATATATATATATATTATTGTATGCTACGTACATTTTGTATCGTATTATACACTTTTTTTTATGTATTTTAATTAACATTTTTAACATATATATATTTGTCAATTTAGTTTCATTACTATAAAGGAAGTGGGAGAGCCACCAAATCTTGAAAAAGTTAATTCAAAAGGGTTAACCTTTTCTTTATCTGTGGGGCATTTATTATTGATTAACCAAACGTTTAAATGAGCAATTAATTTATAGTGTCGAATGCGTCAATTCTTGATTCATGTTGATATTAGTTGCCTATATAAAATAAGCTTCTCTTGCTAATATAATGTCATCAAAACTTTAACAACCATAGCACACTTGTACGTAGGGTCGTAGGCCTTTGTTACTGGTCTTTTTTTAAAAAATTATGCATGAACTTCCCAAGTGTTTGACAATGACAAAGAGAAAATTATTTTCTTTAAATTTTTTAAATAATTACGCCTGCAAACGTATTTACATTCATTTTGTAACATTATTAATTGGTTAAATCTTTTTAATCAGATGTTAATTTGTAATCATCTCATATCAATAAAGAGGTGAGCAACAGAGAGTTGAACAGTCTTGGCAGCTGGAATAATGAAATCTTGCACCCTATTGTTAGTGGGATATTAGTGCTGTAGGAGCCGACAATCTTATAAGCTTTTAATTCTACACTTAATATGATTGGAATGGACATTCATCCTCTAAATCTAAATGGAGACAGCTGAGTTATGGAGGTTGACATGGCAAAGCATATGCAATTTAAAGCTTTTACACTATGCTCTCATTTTCATAATCTCTGTTTTCCGGTTATTTTTATTAATTAATCTTTTTTTCCCCTGAAACATCTTATTAATGAATCTGATTTAACAGAGACAGTCCCTTCATTATCATCTTAATTAATAATCTCAGCCAACACTTGTATGGTGTTGGGGGCTAGAATTGTGGTTCCATTTATTTTTGATGGATTACACCGACACCTTATACGCATCTATAACTTTTCTTTTGTAAAACGAATGAAAAGGAACATGATTATTATAAATACACTTTCATCCCTCGAATCTTAACCATTGAATGATCAAGTCACCATTAATCTCTTTGGAGGAACATTTGGGGCCCTTTAAGCTTCTTTTGAGTTCACAAAAATAAGTGCTACTGCTTTTCAACAATCACTACTTAAAATATATCCCTTCTCAATGAGTCGAGTATAACCCATTCTTGCACTCATCTTCAAACCAATATCCTCCTCTCTTTCTTTCCATTTATTTATTAGAAAAATGAAAAGGATCCCTTTAAGATTCTAAAATCTTTTACAAATTGTAAAGCTCATAATCATTACAATTAAAAATTTGTTGCTGCAGACTATAATATCTTTTCCCTTCATTTCCCTAGAAAATGTCGGCCATTTGGTACTTTTATTCAACACATATTTGAACCATACGAGTAGGAAAAATACGAACATCAGACCATATGAAAAAAGCTTTTATTTTCTAAATAGCGGACTGAAACATACCCACATTCAACACACACAAGTCTTGAGTCCAGGTATCATAGCAACGAGCAAGTTATTTTCCATTAATCCCTCACCAATGGTTGGGTATTCTGGTGATAGGTGCCACTCTCCGTCCACCAAGAACTTGATTTCAGACCTTCGTCAAATGTCAAAACTGAATGTCAGAACAACATTTAACGGCCGGCCGATGCATAGAAAGTCCGCGGGGATCAATCATACCTTCCAGGTCTCGGTAATAATGTGGTGGAGAACTTGGTGAATGAACCGGTGTATTCTGGTGATAAGTGTTCCCCTTGACTCCAACCATCAAATGACCGCATAACTTGTACACTTTCTGCCATGCCACACCAGAACAATGGAACTTCCTTCTACCGTGCAGCATCTACATCCTTTATTTGTTCCTTCAATTTCTCGAGTACAGCTATACACGAAAGAAAAAGAAGAGATTCTTTAGAAAAGGAACTCATAGGCTGTCACAAACTTGAAAATTCTTACGGGTCATTAGATACATGCAAAAGCCAATTCTCTCTCTATTACTGTAATGGGAAATCAAGTTTTCAAGCTAACACAGTGAAGCCCGAATCTCGATAGTGCATTATTGCCAAACTTGTCAAAATTTTCGTTTTAGCAGGGGAATAAAACTAGAAATTGAAAGTTACCTTGGGCCATGAACATTTGCCCATTTGTTAAAACATCTCAATTTAGATGAGAAAGAACAACTTTGTCGGCCAAAACTCAGAAGAGAATCATTACCTTCTAAGCGAGCATGAAGATGAGACTGAATGTATCTCCCACTGATTTTTCTAGAACCTTCTGGAACGCCAGCTTTAGATATTTCTTCTGCCAATGAGACTAACGCCTGTAAATGAAAAATAATTAGAGAAGCTTTAACTTTAAGGGGTTTTGGCCTAGAAAAGTAATTAGATGACTTTACCAGTTGGATGTGTGTCTATGTCAGAGCCAAGGGAAATTGTTCTCCATATTACCAAAGGGGTGGTATACAAAAAGGAAAAAAGAAGCTCAATCTAAAGCATCACCACTCCAGTAAAGGGATACCTTTTGCATAAGGAATTTTGTAAAGGACCAATTTTCAAAGTATGGGATGATTTGGTTTGCTGGAAAGCATATAAAAATACATTTAAAACCAGCCCCGGAAACAATAGTCTTTCAATAAGTTTGTTTTAGCAATTGACATATATATATTATAAAAAAAAAAGTAACCGAAGTGAATATTAACCTGAATTTCCAGTTCCATGACTGCAAGTTCACTTTTGAAATTCAGTAGCGCATCTTCCGTTTCATGTAACTGTAGAGGGTACAGACAGTTCATTTAGAGAGGTAAAGTTGACTCTGTTAATGCTAGTAGTTTACACTTTAAAACCAATTTCGTGTAAACTATGAATTTCTAGGCCTGACCTCCTTGTTTAGAAAGACAAAAACCTGGGTTGCAGGCTGTAGATTATGGCATCAATTTATCCTTTAGCAATTTCCTTCGTAACATTTATTGCTGAATTCATCTCTTCCTATTTACATTTAAATGAGCAGAACTCTCTTCAAGACAGTAACATAAACGTTTTTTACCATTGAGAGAACAAATAAGCACTGTCCCTGGTTTCTTCTCTAATCCGTTGCCATATCTGATAATAACTTAATCTCCCCATTAACAGTTTTTTTTTGATCCATTAAAAAGTCCAAAATCCTTAGGACGTTCATTCCTGATCCAAACAAAATGCCATAATCCATTTACACTCCCATATACCAAAAGACACATTTACCTAAACTAATTACAATACCTAAACCCAACAAAACGAGACACAAATTGACCCAAACTATTAACTGATACAAGTCCACTTAGCTAACAACCCAATAACCCATGTTGTTTCTGTGAGAAACCTTCAGTCGCCGCCCTTTTGGTGTTAGATGCGTCTCTTCAACAGTAACACAAGAATGGTCTCCTACCAGGAGAAAGCATTTCCTCCACGCAAGAAGCTTCTAGAAGTTTCTTTCATCTAGCAAAGCAGCAAGCATCGTGATCTCCAACAGATTTCTACAGTGGCCCCCTCCGGATCAACAGAGCCCAAAATAATATCAGCAAATGCAAACAAATAGGTCAAAAAACCCTGTCGTTTTTAGGGTGATTTGCCAGTCTGTAGATTATGGAAACAAAGTTAATATCTTCTGCGCCCGTAACTTGCATTTTATTTCTCCTTTCCGTTTTGCTCAATTATTCAGCCACCCAGTCCAAAATTGGAATGTGTTCATTGTTTCAGAACAGAAAAAATGGTGTATTTACAAATAAAAAAAGAAACTTATTTCATGTAAGTTCACCTCGTCATTGCTTAGTGGTTTAGCAAGAGTTTGCTCAGGTGAATCTTCAGAAGCATGCTCATCTTCACTAAAAGGATCTGACTGTAGAGATGAGGATTCCTCCAAACCAACGGGCATGGTATGTGTCTTGCAGACAATAGGGCTTTTATGTTTCTTTCTGATGCAGGGGATCCGAGACAGATTATGCTGAGCTGTCAAATTGCACGCGCTGAGATACCATGAGTTGGCAGATCAGCGTAAAGGCGGGAATTGATTGTAACATGTTCCTCATTGGGGTCGTTTTGAGTATGTTTCAGTCTTTTGGCCATAACTTTGGCTACAGGTGTCAGAATCGCGCATAAGGCCCCAATCCGGAAAGCTCTTTTCGACGCGCACGCTCTCTACAGTGAGCTACGCTCCATGTGGCCTTTTTTCAACCTCAAATTCTGCCGTTTTCCCCTCCAAATCACTAGATTTAGTTATTTTTTACTATTTATGGTAATATTTCTATTGTTAATTAGGAAGTTAATTTAAATCCGATTTAGGCCGGATTTTTGGGAGATTGCTTATTTTATTTCGAATTTCAATTTAGAGTAATTTTCGGGATTTTGCTATTTTGGCAAAATTCGAATAAAGACGATTTTTTTGCTATAACAGTCCGGCTTGTGGACTGTTCTTTGGAGATTATTGATTTTATAATATTTTATTAAACCCTAGAGACTTTTTTTCTCTGGTTTTTGGGCGAATTTTCTCTTGTGAATCGTCTGTCGGAGCTAGCCTACAGGATAATCACTATTCTATTTGGCGTCACTTTCTAGCAGAATCTATAGTCAAATAAGCCAGCCTTTTATTATTAGTCTTTAATTTCCAGTCAGTCAAATTATAAGGAAATCCTGGGGCATTTCCCCCGTTCAATGCTCTCAGGTTCGACGAAAACCATGAGACTTGCTTGTCAAGACAACACCTGAAAAAATCACAACCCAAGGCAGGCATGATAATGAGAAGGGATAAATTGTTAAGGATCATATATAGAATGGAGGAATTCAGAAATAAAGTAGTAGTAATGTTGCTAAGCATAACAGTTCTCAACAAAAAAACGGACACAAAAAACCCTGGGTAGGTAAAAAATCAGAGACAATTTGCAATACTGCTTTCACTGTGGCATGAAAAGCATATCAACCAGTACCGTCTTTAACTGAGAAGATATTAGCTAAACTTGCAGAGTAACTTTGAGACAAAGCATTTATCCTCACGACTAATATAATAATCACGAAATCCTACCTTGTAGTAGCAATCTCCATCCCAAATGATTTTCCTGAGAGAAAGTGACCAAATACAAACCTTAGAAGTAGAAGTCATCATTGAAAGTAAAGTAAGAATTGTTGCTACAAGTACAGCAGGCTTTTAGTTCAGAAATACATCTCAAAATATGACATAAAAAATAAGAACTTGTGCCAGATCAACAGCTGCCAAATGGTAAATCTATATTCAGAGGCGTACCCAATACAAAAATTAAGGGGTTGCATATAAAATTTGGGGTTACCCTTTTAATCTTCAATCGAGGTTTTTAGTTTTCATAGCCTTCAAATCTTCAATCTAATCTGTTGTCAATTGCCTATCCCAATTTTGAGGGCAACTATAAGGTCCGCCCCTGTCTATATTCACTTTCCTCCACCTAAGCATGTATCCCATTAAGATAACATGAAATGCCATAATAGAGTGCTAATAATAGTAGCATTTCATTTAGTGCTGAAATAGATCAAGAATATAAAATAGATCGAGAATTCTACTACTGCCAGTGACTAAACTTCAAACATGAAAACTGGATTGAATCATGAATTGGAGACCCTTACGCTCAAAGTTCTCAGAGAATATATGCTACTGACTTCTCACGACATTACTGCGGCTAAATAAACCTTCTGGTTTTACGCTTTTTCTTATCTCCATCCCCCACCCCCACCCCCCAAAAAAAATCATGTGAATAAAACAGAGGTATTACATCCATAAAGCAAAAGAAGAAAAGGAAAAAAAACGAGGAATTGATGCATCTAACATAAATCAAAACTACCGTACAAGTCTCTCTAGTCACGAGTATGCAAATGATTTTCGACTCGGTTGGACAAGTGCGGCCTTGCAAAGCTCCCGGTAAAAAAATGCCAAAATCGCTGAGCCCCAATTGGTATTACGACACACAACAAAGTCTTCCAAATATCGTAGATACTGCATGTACACAAAATTACTAGATTTGTCCGGTAATAATATTCCTCCGATCACTTGGAGAAGAAATACTCGGGACGTAAAAACAACCTTTGCCTTGGTAGAGTCGTCCGTGACTTGAAATTCGGATTCCAACCACATAATCAGTACCCCAATAACCCTCGATAACGTCGGATTATGGTCATTTCCCCAAAACTTGGTAGATCAACATCGCGGGGTTGTAAATGTTTTGGCTCACGACGGGGGCTCCATTCACCGGAACACCGAGTTGGTAAACGAAATCTTCCAGAGTAATCGTCACTTCTCCACTCAAGAAATGGAACGTGTGCGTCTCGGGCCGCCAATGTTCGATCAGAGTCTCGATCAACACCGGGTACACATTGAAGCCACGTAAAAATAAGGTCGAAAATAGACTAGATTGATGTAGATATGTCATCATCCGTAGATACGGCTCTTTGGTTGTCATCCCCTGACTACGAATACTCCATTCATCGTTGTCTGGCCCGCGTTGGATCAACGAAAAATGGGAGTTATCCAGCCACAACATATATTTTCGGGTTGTCATTTTTTGAGATTTTGACAGAACATATGAATTTTTGTAATTTTTTTTGAGAACATATGAATTTTTGTAATTTTTTTTGAATTTAGGGTTTGGTGAAAAATCAAAATCCCAAACCCTATTTATAACCTTACTTTCAAACAACTAGAAATTTGAAATATCCAGCCGAACTCCTGACCTTGAGGTGACGAGTTCCAGGTGACCGTTGTTGCCCGTTGTTGTCCGACTTCTCGTTGGCCAACGACTAGTATTTTTGAATTTGAAGGAACTCGTCACCTCGACGTGATAAGTTCCCCTATTTTTTTTAAAATTATAATTCTTTATTTTAAAATTTTAAAAAAATATTTTTTTAATAGACTCGTCACCTCAACGTGACGAGTCACTAAAATCTAATAAAATAATAGACCACATGGGGCCTACAATGCGAGGACCATTTAAAAATAATATCGATATTCTCTGTAGATAATGTCGTATTTTTCAAAATAATTTATAAGTAGGTCCAATACCCTAGATAATACCCGCATGGGGTATTGGGCAAAAAAAAAACCTCCATTGTCTTGTTCAATATTCCTCTAATCATATCCTTTATATTTGATTTTTCCAATTATTATAGGCAAATCATTGTCCTATTGATTATATCATCTAATTCTTTTGCGCTTATGTATTCCTGTTCACATAATTGTAAAGCAATGCGCTTTACCTCCTTTAGCATTTTCTACTAGGATACCGCGGTCTGGAAAACAGTAACGAGTTTTCAAATAAACAACTTACATAAAGTTCTCTCATCGCATTTTAAATTATTACAGGAAGTTCTCCCTCTATAGAACATTGTTTGAAACTTTCGACATTTGAACAGCTCGTGTTAAGTGTTAGGCTCAGCTTTCGATCTGTTTATAAGCATCCAGGAAGCTATCACGGTATTGGTACTAGGTTGAGATTGAACTGAGCCTTCCTGTTTGTTCCTTCCATGGCCTCGTCGTAACTCCCTCTGCATGATTAATTTTTTAAAAAAAAGCTCGAGAATCAGTGTCATTGCCCGAGTGTTACAAGTAAATCGCATTGCAATTTTGTAAGAGAATATACCCAATGGTCAAGGAAGGAAATTGTACTGTTGCTGGTGGTTGTATGGATGGGGGGGAGGAGGAAGAGGAGGAGGAGGCAAGGTTTCGCAGTTCTTGTGGTACATGTTCAGTTGGCGTCTGCTCCTTTTCTTTCAGCTTCATCCATGGCAAAAGTGTTGATCAAAGTCAAAGAATGAAACAAGAAACTTCATATATATAGTTGAATGGTAAAAGGCATGTATTAAGTTACTTTTTTACCTTTTTTGCCAGCATGTTGTTCTGGTCTTGCAATGTCCTTTCCTGTCATAAGATTCCATGTCAAAATATTTGTCTTTTTTTTCGTATTTACTTTTAGATTACTAAATATAACCCAAGTCACTGGAAAAAAAGTTCATCATATGACAAAATCTTACTCTCTTCTGCAGCAATGAAAAGGACTCGTGCATGAGTTTATTCTGCATGTCAGAGCAAATCATGGTTAAGTAGACTTAAAGCATTCGAATGACTAGAATTCGAAAATAAATTTTCAAAGAAATGATTGAACAAGCTCATTTTACCTTTCTAGTCCGTATTCGTTTCAGAGAATTAGCAATTTGTTGTTCCAAAAGTTGCAGGTTCCTCAGACTCAAGGTATCAAGCTCTTCTCCTCGGAACTGCCTGCATTGATTAATATAATATCTAATCCAACCCTTGAAGCACGTAATATATAAGGCCACTTAACAGAACCAAGCTGATGTTGTTTAGTCTCGTGTATTGAATGTTTAATACAAGTATTTGTTCGACATGGGTGTAAAATATCATCACCATAATACCAAAATATATCTTTAATATTTGATTAAATAGTCATTTTAGTTTTTTTTTGGGAGTATTTTAACCTTTAACCTTTTATTTTAAAGCAAAAAACCTCATTCCATTTGATTAAATAATCACATTAGGCTTTAATTTTTTGTAGAGCATTTTAACCCCATCATTTTATTTTAGGGCAAAAGGACTCTTATTTTGGAGCGTTGACCGTTTGATTACTAATGATTTCTATTAACAAAGAATCTTTTTATCTCAAAATAAAACGTTTTAAGCTAAAATACTCTAAAAATTAAAAATAATTATTTAGTTAAATGTTAGTAACATTTTTTATCATTACGCAAAATTATATATGCCTGCAGCTTTCAAACATATAAAGTTACATTTGTACCTCAAGTTCCTTTGTATTGCTTCAACAGTAGACGTAAGTTTGGAACATTCCAAAGACAAGTTTGCCTGTGCAGCATTTCCATAACGGTTAAAGAGTTTAATGATCCCATTTTCCTTTAAATAAAAAAAAACTAATAATAAAATTATTGTTGTCAAGTTATCCAAATTCAAGGATGATATTGAATATGAGCACGTTTGATTAATATTCCTATTTTTTAAAAATATATTATTAAGGTTTATTGTTGTATTGTATATGTATATCCAGGTATTCATCAAATATAAATGTCAAATGGAGTACAAATTAAGTATTATAGAATACATGATTTACTCAGACAAAAGTGCATTTTGAATAAATTTCATGATTTGATGCAAGACATACCTGTGATTCAGAACCTGATGAAGCTAGCTGTCTCTCTGCGTATGATTTTCGTTCATATCGTTCTAGGATGATCTCCATGCTGTAATTACAATACACGAAGTTAATCAAGGAAAATACCTACATACATGAACATGAACGTACAACGAAATGAACTCCACATATAACTAGGAAATTTACACAACCTGAAGAATATTTACTGCAAATGCAAGGATTGATAGCACATATGACTCGTGTATAAATACATCATTCAAGTACAAAGAAAATATTATGGTCTTTGGGTTGAATGATGTTAATAGAGTTGGACATTCTTTTTGTTGTAACCTAGATTTCTACAATATGTACATCATTTAGGATGTCTTTTTTCTTTGATATATCATTGTGAATTCTACTCGATGTTGGATGACCTTTCTAATCTTTATGCAATAAATTGGTATCGATATTGTTCTTCATAGAATAAATTCTAGGCATTTTACAAGTGAAGTATAATACCATATTCATGAGGTACTGATAATGTTTCTTTGGTATTGATATAGAGGGTCTGATATTAATACCAGGGTTTTTTTAGGAGACTTCGAGGCTTAAATTGGTACTTGTATTCAAGGGAAGTATTGATATACTTAGGTTGGCATCGATACTCAATGTATGGTATTAATACAAAAGGTTAATAGGACTTCAAGGCTATTTTTTATATCGATATTTAAGGGGAGTACTGATATCCATGGGTTTGTTTCAATACCCAAGTATATGTATCGATATCATCAATAGTAATGGGATAGTAGATTTGAGATATTGAATAGGACTGGAAAGTGGAGAGTCTAATAGCTTAATAATGAGAACTCGATAATATATGAATGAGTAATAATGTGAATGGTTAATGCTATGTGTGTGAAAAGCATAAGAATGTTATGATG